CCTACCTCTTTTGAGTCTTCTCCGCCATGGTTCGGCACCGGTCTCCAATTGGCGCCGACATCGACACAACAGCCTGGGTAGAGCGATGATCTCTACACGCGATTGGAGTGCCTAATAGGATTGGAAGAGGGGCGGAGTCCGCGAGAGGCGGGGTTGGAGAGGCGGTGGACCGCGCAGTGGCTTTCTTGTAGTTGGTTGCTAGTTTCCTGGATGCGTCGGATTGTACTAGGCGGCGCTGCCTGGTTGTCCCGGACCTTGGGACTGTCTGCCAGTTGATTTTAATGTTGTCAAAGGATCAACAGACTTGGACTTAAAATACTCGTTTAATCTAACTCAATGCGCCTAATTATGACCTCGTTTTACAGCAGCTTTTGATACTGGTGAGCAGAGCACCAGGCGTTCTCGGACCTCGTTGGATGCTCCTTTTCAGCCTCTTTCCGACAGCTACGTATTAAGATTCCTCCTCCTGTTTCCAGGTCCTGTGCTCATTCCTTTTGAGCTCATCGTTCCCAAAGTTTAAGTGCTCTCTACTTGCTGGCTTTCTCACACTCTCTAGTTTTGTTCTTTTGAGGAGAACGTCACACCTGATTGATTATTCATACAATTGCCTAGTTGGCATCTCCGCTTAGAAGCCTCAGTCTTGTCAAACCTGAGACATTACAAACGGAACTTTTTGTTTTCAACACCCCCACCACTCCTGAAACATTACAAATGGAACTTTTGGTTTTCAACACCCCCACTCTCCACCCACCCCTGAATTCGTCCTTTGATCTTCACCTCAGTAAAGGATCCCCCATAACTCAGTTGCTCAAACCAGAAACTCTAGAATCATTCTAGTCACTCTTCACACTTGTTATTGTTGTCGTTGTTATGTGCCCACGAGTCCGACCCGACTCATAGCGACCCCTCCTTGGGTTTCCGAGGCAGTATCACTACGAAAGTAGATGGCCCCATCTTCCTTCACACTGCCATATATAATTCACCAGCAGGTTCTGCCTGCCTTGTCTCTGAAGCCTCATTCTTCCATGTAAGCATTTCCACTTCAGGATCTATTTTAATTCTCCATCTCTACAGGTGATTGTTTTTCTTTGTCCACTATAATATACAGGTGATACTGAAAACAAAGTCACAATTGCTGTTGAGTCCACTCCAACTCATGGTGATCCCATGTGTATCAGAGTAGAACTTTGCTGTATAGCGTTTTCCGTGGCTGACTTTTAAGAAGTAGATCACAAAGGCCTATCTTCTGAGATGCGTGTGAGTAGACTGAAAGTCTACCTGTTTGGGCCATAAAAAGTACACTGCCATATAGTGACTTTATAGGACAAGGTAAGTAGCTCTGGTGGTATAGTGGATGAAGCTGATAACGAGAAGGTCAGCAGTTCAAACCTACCAGCCACTCCTCAGAAGGAAGATGGTGCAATATACTTCCATAAAGATTTACAGCCTCAGAAACCCAATAGGGGTCACTATGAGTCAGAAACAACTCTATGGCAATGAGTTTTTTAGAGTTTATGGGATGAAGTAGAACTGTCTCATAGGGTTTCCAAGGCTGTACTGAAGCAGACTGCCTCATTGTTCTCCCACATAGCCTCTGGTGGGTTTGAACTGCTGACCTTTCAGTTAGTAGCAAATGTGTTAACCACTGCACCACTAGAGCTCCTGGTGTTTGGGCCATACTGCACCTGTAATTCTTTAATGAAAGTATTTGTTTGCATTTCTGTCTCTCTTTCAAGCAGATTGAGAGCTACTTGAGGGAAGGGACCAGATCTTAGTCATGTTTATGTTCCTAGTGTGTATCAAGAGTCTATCATAAAATGATAGCCCAATACTGCTCATAATTTTAACTATTGTTTACCTTCAACTACATTCAACCAATGAGCTTTGTGCTGATCGTTTGTACATGCTTTATCTAATCTTTAATTTTGTTGAGACAGGAATTATGTCTAGTTTTAAGACGAAGGAGCTCAGTCTTGGAGATGTAAAGTGAGTTGCTTGATAGAGGATCTTAGGTTTTCTCTACATAGAGCTGTCTTTCACTATGATGTAGTCCTTGCTCTTAAGATGCTCTTGTATCTGGCTATATTGTCCCGTCGTTTTATTTTATTTTATTTTAAGGCTGCTTGCTCTAACTTGTGTCTTTGGAGATGAAAAACAGCTGGTGAGAAACAGCCCTATAATGTCTTGGACTTAGTAGATGGACCTCTGCCAGCCATGAGATGGCCTGTTGTTTTTTTCCTGCCTCTATGTTACCAACTCTGGTAGCGTAGTGGCTAAGGCACTTGACTGCTAACCAGAAGGCTGGCGGTTCAAACCCACTAGCCACTCCTCGGAAGGAAGGTTGGGCAGTCCTACTTCCATAGTGATACTGCCTCGGAAACCCAAGGAGGGGTCCCTATGAGTCAGGGCTGACTTGACGGTACATAACAACAACAACAACAACATGTTACCAGCAATCCATGGGGCCAAAATGGTCTTCTTGTCTTCCAATGAGAAAGAATTGCTTACAGAGACAGAATTAGTTTCAGAGAGCAAGCCTTTAATGAAACATTGCATAGCAAAGCAGCAGCTAGAGGTAAAGCACATTAGCAGGGCTACTGTGGCTTTCATTTTGTCTACAGCAGTTATTTTGTGTTGTTGTTGGGTGCTATTGAGTCGCCTCTGACTCATAGCAACCCTATGTACAACAGAATGAAACACTGCTGGGTCCTGTGGCAGCTTCATAATCCTTGCTATAGCTAAACCCATTGTGGCAGCCACTGTGTCAATCCATCTCATTAAGGGCCTTCCCCTTTTTCGTTGACCCTCTGCTTTAGCAAGCATGATATCCTTCTCCAGGGAATGGTCCCTTCTGACAACATGACCAAAGGAGGTGAGAAGTCTGGCTATTCTCGCTTTCAAGGAGCATTCTGGCTACACTTCTTTCAGGACAAATTTGTTAGTTCTTCTGGAAGTCCATGGTACTTTCAGTATTCTCTGCCAACACCACAACTCAAAAGCATCAACTCTTCTTTGATCTTCCTTATTCATTGTCTCGTTTTTACATGCATATGAGGCAAATGAAAGTACCGTGGCTTGGGTTAGGCCATTTGATTCCTAAGGGGAATCAAATGTGGAAGCTGAAAAGGTGGCGAATCATGTTTTCCCTTATTTGGGCTCCTAGCCCACTGTATACTGCTTGGATGTCATGCATGCACTGTCCTGTGGGATGCTGGTTCGATTCCTAGTCAGTCTCTGTCATCCCACAAGGACTATGCACGGACAATCAGTGTCATGTTGCGCATGCCTGAAGAGCTGGAAACCAGATTACCACAAACACTTGCTGAAAGAAATTTGCAAATATATGAAGCACAAAGCTGGAGAGGCTGCTAGCTATTTCTGTACTCTGTGTTCCAGGCTATGGGACAGCCCACACAGACCAACCCAGGTGTGGTGGGTTAGTGTGGGCTATGAAGGGCCTTAATGTCTCTAGCCCTAAATTTAGATCCCAGTTCTCTTTCCCTACTCCAGTGGGCCTGTCTCAGCAGGGGCAATTTTCCATTGCCTCTATGAGTCCTTGTCTCATCTAGGCAGTCTCTTCTGTATTTCTTGCCCACATTGCAAAGAAAAAGCTTCTATTTGCTTCTTCAAAACATTCTTTAACAAATATTTACTGAGTACATAACATGTGCCTAGCACTGTTCCATGTCCTGTAGAAACAGCAATAAATAAAACTAAGTCCCTCCCTTGTAGAACTCACATTATAGTAGGGAGATGGGCAATAAACTAATTAAGACATATAAGGGCTAGTGTTTAAGCCTTGAGTTGCAATATTGAGAAACTCTATGAGCAAAATATTGAATGATGCAGGGAACATAAAAAGAAGATGGAAGTAATACACAGAGTCACTGTACCAAAAAGAACTGGTCGATCTTCATCCATTTCTGGAGGTGGTGTATGATCTAGAACAAATGGTATTGAAAGAGGAAGTCGAAGCTGCAATGAAGGAATTGGCAAAGAACAAGGCTCTGGGAATTGACGGAATACCCATTGAGATATTTCAACAAATGGATGCTCCATTGGAGGCACTCACTCAGTTATGCCAAGAGATTTGGAAGACAGTTACCTGGCCAACTGACTGGAAGAGATCCATATTTGTAC